ATGTAACAACATGTGAACACAATGCAATGCAACAACATGCAAACAACATGCTATATGGACTTAAACCGAATATGGACAGACCTCAGTCATACCCAAAATAGTGGCCAAAATGCTGAAATGATGGCATGAAATGCAAAAAAATGCATGCACATGTAATGGCTCATCAACTAAGCACAAGGGCACAACTCTCAAAAGTGCTCAAGGAGTGACAAATGTAAGAGTGTAGCCACACTATAAGCATTGAAATCAGGTATGAAATGATGCCAAACCATTCAAACAAAGCAAGCATAGCATGCTAGGGTCCTCAAGCATTAAAGCTAGTAAGGGGACTACACAAGAGGCATACAATATATGTCACAAATAGATGAACCAGCCATGGTTAGAGCTCAAACAGGTCAAAACAAAGACCAAAACATGCTGAGATGGGAGCTCAAATGTGATAACCCTGGTTTGTATTATGCTAATTAATCTTAATTGTGATTGTGATTATGTATCTAATATGATTTTGTGTGCCATTTATGTGAATATATTTAGTTTTGAATTTCCATCTGTTCACCGTAGGAATATCTGTTTAATTATCTGCTTTGGAATTTAAATTGAAGGCTCTATCGGCCACAGAAACCAAAATTGACTACGCCATTATGATTGGCGTAATTTTTACAGCCTGCGGTGAAATTTTATTGAAAATTGATTCGGATCAAATTAATTAGATTAAATTGATGATATAGTGCTCAATTAATTAATATTGATAAATGTGATTAAAGGAACTTATATAAAAAGGGGCACTATGCACTCAACTCCTCTCTTTTATTCATTTTTGGCTGAAATCACTTTAAAAAGAGGGAAACGGTCGGCTAGAGAGAGAGAAGGAAATAATTGAGGTTTTGATCTTGAAGCTTCAATAATTTGAAGACCAACTCAAGATTTGACCATAAATTGGGAAGATTGAACTTCTAGGTAAGCAATTGGTTATGAATTCATGAGTTTAATATTGTAATTTTCTGAATTCAAAGTTGCATGGTGATCAAGAACAAGAATTGTGTTGTATTTGATGAGTTTGAAGTCATGAAATGCATGCATGTGTATAATTGCCATGAATTTGTATAGTTGAGTATGAAAAATATGATCCATGTAGAACTTTGGTTAGAACTCATTCTTGTGATCACCATTTGCACCATTTAAGTTGAAAATGGGAGTTATATTCCACATGCACGTACAATTTATGAGAAAATGAGTTTGAAATACATAGGATTGTTATCATGAAAGCAAGTTTGGTGTAATTTGAAACATGCATGTAAGTAATTCATGAAATTGAGCTTCATAATGTGTTGAATTTGGTGTTGGGTCATGTTGGTACATGTTTATGTGAAGTTTGAGCCATAAAATGCAAGATATGTTGATTTGAATGTTGAATTTGAGCTCAAGAACATTGCTGGAAAATCCAGAAATTTTGATGTCCGCCCGAGCGGGGAAACTGCTGCTCGAGCGGAAAATACAAGCTCCTAGTATATTTTGCAGACATGCTGTCCGCTCGAGTGGGGAAGTTCACGCTCGAGCGGGGAGCCATGTAGTGAGGCTTTCAGCTCGAGCGCCCGACTTCACACTCGAGCGTAAATTTGATGCATCCAGTACTTTTGCTGACCTCTTGGGTCCGCTCGAGCGGGGAAGTCCATGCTCGAGCGAGGACCCCTGTTTCAGAAATTTTGTAAATGCGTTCTGTGTTTCGTTTTCCGTTCTCTTTCACTTCTAAGCACTCTTAGGCATGCATTAAGCATTGTAAATGAGTTAAAAGGAAAAGAATGAAGCCTAAAGAGGAATATGTGAATTAAGAACGGATTGAATTATTTGTGACGCTTTGTGTTCATGGAATGTGTAGGGTCGAGCTCCAGGGCAAATCATCCAGCCGATCAATGTAAGTAATATCTTATTAAAGATATTTGAAGTATGTTATTTGTCAAATTATTTACTTCTATGAAAGCCTTATAAGTCTGTTTACCTGAATGGTGGACAAATGTTTGCTATGCCAAATGAATGGGCCAGAGGCCAGTCTGACATGAATGAAAGTATGAATGGGCCAGAGGCCAGTTTGACATAAAAGTATGAACGGGCCAAAGGCCAGTTTGACATAAAAGTATGAACGGGCCAAAAGCCAGTTTGACATGAAAGTATGAATGGGCCATGGCCAGTTTGACATGAAAGTATGAGTGGGCCAAAGGCCAGTTTGACATGAAAGTATGAATGGGCCAAAGGTCAGTTTGACATGAATGAAAGATAAATGGGCCAAAGGCTAGTTTGACATGAATGGATTGGGCCCGAGGCCATCCGATGTGTTTGGAACCGCAGTTGCTTGACATACATATGTATATATGTATGTATTAGATAGAAATATGAATTGGGCCCAAGGCCGTCTGTTGTATATTGTTCCAATGTATTTTCTTTATTTGATATTATTCACTAGGCTTTCGCTCACGCTCATTCATGTGTCTGTAGGTGAGCCAAGGGAGGTCCATACCCAGCCTCAGTGAAGTTTGTGTGGAACGACCAAGGTTTTGAGGAGTCAGCCTTACGTCTCACGCACGAGACTCGTCTTCGCCCTTTTGCTATCTTGTTTTATTTTGTCATGTTGGCGAGGACTTTGGATACATTGTATATAGTTTTGATTGGCTGACTTAGACTTGAATGATCCTGTATGTATAGAGCTTTGTGTTAGTACATATTTGACATGAGTTATTAACATGTGTATGTGTATATTATTAAGACGTGCTATGTAAGCACAGCTCTATGGACAAAATTTTAAATTTTGCTTCCGTTTGGCTCCTTTACTCTGATGAGTTACGTCTGATTTGATTTGAGGTCACAGGTAATCTCAGGATTACTGGCCGGTTATGTCTTTAACCCATGTGGGCGGGTTTGGGTCATGACAGGTAATCTCGAATTACCGGCTGGTTACGATGCTAAACTTATAAGGGCGTGTTTGGGTTGTGACAATCATCATCCATAATTTATATCTATTTTATTTCATTCTGAAATAAAAATTATTCATTAAATAAATGTTATCTATTTAATTTCATGATTGTAATATTTCATTTCATTTTGATATATATAAAATTATTCATTTTAAAAGAAAAAAAAAATTACATAATTTCATACTTTTTTAGTCATAACTAAAAAAATATAAGTCATACATAATTAAATACCACCACATGAAACCTAACCAAATAACTCATTAATCCTAACTAAAATATTCTAATACAATCTTTCTTTTCTTTTTTTATCTCTCATAAATAATCTATATATAATATATTTATCGTTTATTTTTCATACAAAAAAAGGTCTGCCAAGTCCGGCCCACGGCCCTAATTTAAGTGGGCCTAGGCCTGGGCATACATTTCGATCTGCAGGCCGGTCCAATCTAAAAAAAGGTGGTAGTTTGGACAGTTCGGGGACAGATTGGACCAAAATTACACCGCTAATTATAACCATATTCAAATAATGTAATTTAGAGAATTTTTTTTTCATTCACCTATTAATGGTTGAGCAAGTTAACATAAGTTGCTCATCGTCACACGGATGGATCCTACATAACATTAACTCAAAGTGTACAAAAACTTATTATTTGTTTGGTTTGATTTTTCAAAACTTGCCTTTAAATAAGTTGTCGTTTATGCTTAGTAAATTTTTTTTTTATCATATTTTAATTATTTTATAAAGATCCATCAAGATTAAATGTATCTATAAAACTAAAATTAAAAAAAAAAATTGACTAAAATATTTTTTTTAAAAATTCACTATGAACAAACAAACAAAAACTTGAACAAAAATGCATACAAGGTTTTGTTTGGGATTTCAATTATTTTTAGTGAACCTTTTTTATATTTTAGTTTTTTTTTTTTTAGATACATATGGATTAACTACAATTACAAATTTTAAAATGATGACCCAAAATATATTTAAAAAAATCCGCTTAAACAAATGAAAATCCATACAAACAGTTTTTGTAAAATTAAACAATTTAAAATCATTTTTCCAACAACTGCCCTTTTTTTAGGTGCAAAATTTTCCAACGCCTACCAACCTACACGGAGCGAACTGTTACGTTAACGAATGAAAAGCCATTTTGACCATAAATTGGTATTTGAAACTTTCGAACTGATAAGCCTAAACTTTAATGGGAGAATATCAACCAAAAAAAAAGAAACAAAAGTAGAGAATGAAAAATAATTATAAAATGATGAATGTATAAACGACACTTATTTGTTTAAAATTTACATATTTGTCCATCTATCTAAATGTTACATATCTGCCACGTGTCACCTATATATCCGCCTTAGCACCACCAATTGTCGATTACTGCCAGTGATTTTATCAAACAATTTTTCATTGACTTTTCAATGTTAGTGACTTTTTGACATATCTTTATCATAAAAAATAAAATAAAATTTTTTTGAATCTAAGGCCCCGTTTGCGAACTCTCCTTTTTAGCTAAAAAGTAAAAAAGTTATTAAATTAGTCAAAAAGTCAACAACTCATACCAAAAAATCAAAGATTCTCTTTTCTCTTTACTTTTTACACATCTTTTCATAAAAAGTCAAAAAATTATCACAAACATACTAGTTTTTTTTTACTCATATTTTAGCCAAATAGCCAAAAAATTACTAAATTAGCCTGTTCCCAATTTTTTTAATTTTATTTTTTCAGATTGATCACCCTCACCCAATATGTTAGGTTATTGCGAACTCGGTAAAAATTCAAACACCATCAGAAATTCCTTCAAGACAAGCTCACACTCTTTTATAGGGCCTCGCTGGGAGACCCCAGCTGCTCCCCACCTCCACGTGGGAGGCTGTCAATGAAAAAAAAAAAAAAAAGTTTCCAATCAGGAGAGACCCCAGCACCCTACTGGGGTCTCATGCATTTTCCCTCTTTTATACAAGAATATCAATCATCATACAGCACATATAACTAAGGTAGTAGAAATACTCTTTTGGATCTAATTAGGATCAAAACAACAATTGTAGTACATGTACCAATTAATCTATGAATCCATCAATTCAAATATTCAAACACTTGATGAACTCTCATGAAGAAAAAGAAAAAGAAGAAGAACAATCGTCAATCGAACTCAAAATAAGAATGGCATAGCCGAGAAACCAGGGCTCGCCATCAACATCGAACCTCTCCTGCAAATCACCACCACACAATAGTTAATTCTTCATTCATCAATCATCAGATCCCCCCCAAAAAAAACTAAAGAAATAAAATAAATAAATAAATTAAATTGTTACCTGTAATTATCACAGTGGCTAGAAGATCTAGCGATGGCCGTGGATTTGGATTTTTCGGAGGCTTTTTTGTTTCTGTTTTCAGTCTTTTTGGTACCGAGATCCGAGACCACACTGTCCTCCGAAATCGCCGAAAGAGCCGGTTTCCGGTGCGCCGAGGGGTTTACTTTCATCGAGCGGCGGCGACTCCGAGAAGGCAGAGGCCGAGCCACCACTTGCTGCGGCGGCGAAGTGGCGGCGATGGCACCACAACACCACCGGAATTCTAAGAAAAACTTCATCAGATTCAGCTTTGAATGAATATTCTCTCTCTCTCTCTCTCTCTCTCTAACACACAGTGAGTGGAATTTGCGCGACTGAACTGAACGACTGAATCTTATATAGGTAGACCCTCTAGAGAGAGATTTGAAATTTTGGTCAAGTTTGACGACACCAAAATAATTTTTCTTATTTTTTTTCATCACATTTCTTCTCTATTTTTGTTTGTACATTTTTTTTATAAAAAGATAAAAAATACATTTATTTAGATCATTCTAAATAATCCCAAACGTGGAGTTTGTATATTGGTTTATGAATTTCCAAGTTAGGTTTTGTCCCTATCTAATGAGAATCCTAGTTGCTTTGCTTAAATAAAATATGATGAATTACAAACACATTCCCCTTGTTTGATTAACATACGAATTGCTTCTTATAATTGTGAAAATTATATTTTCTCTTTGGCTTTTTTAGTTTTATGATAAATTCGTTATTTTTATTAATAAATTATTAAGTCAATTAATAATTTTTAATGTTATTAAAAATATATTTCAATTAATAATTTAAGTAATTTTATTATTGTATAATAGAATAATTATGAATTTCATTTTTTAGTTAATTCTGTTAAATAAAAAATTCTAATAAAAAGTATTTGTAATTTTTTAAATTACATGGAACAATCTATATTTTAAACAAATTTTAAGATGATGTGATAGGATTGGACTTCTTTCATATTATCATATCAATTTAAGAGATCATTTAGATTTTGTTAGATTTATTTTAGTATCGATTGTAGTGATTTGAATTGTTTACTTTTTAAAATTTATTAAGTAAAATATTTATTTAAAAAATTAAAATAATTAGATATCAATAACTATATGTTTCAATCATATTTGTTTTAAAAATCAAACGGTAAATATAATTTTAAAAATAACCATTCATTTTATATAATACAAATTTGATTCAAACATATAGCTACTGATATCCGATCATATTTAATTTTTGCTTAACGAATTTTAAAAAATGAACGATTTGAATCACTAAAATCACTTCTAAAATGAGTCTATCAAATCCAAATGCTCTCTCTAATTGAGATAACTAACTTAAAAGAAGCTAAATCCATTAAGAAACAATTATTATAGCCGTTTTCTCTTTTTTCTTTCATCTTTTTTATTAATTACTTTTGGTATTATGTTTTGTTTTTATGTTTTAAAGGAGTTGGTATTACGTTGCTGAATTAGCAAGGATTTTGATAGCTCTTGTCTTGCTATTTTAGCTTAAGGGGTGGATTGTGATGATCTAAATAAGTATATTTTTTGACTTTTTATGAAATATGAGTTGGGTATGAGTTAGATTTGAAATGATGTGATAGAGAGATTATGTAATTTAAATAAGATGATGTGACTTAAATAAGATAGTGACTTTTTAACTTTTTGACTTTTTTAAGTTATGACAAACAAGACCTTTAACATACTTTAAAAAAAGAGATTATATGTTGTACATGGCTATCCTCTAAACTAAAACAATAAAATTATTTTCTTATATATATATATATATATATATATTTCTACTTCACCATTTTGTTTTACATATATTAGCATAAATAATGAAAGTTTTTACAAAATATATAGATAATGAATATTATGTAACTATTGTTACTGTAATGAAAGAAAATTTTGATAAATATTTTTGACAAATTGCCTCATCTTTTAGGTTCAGTCATAATAATTGATCATAGGTTTAAAGAAATTGGTTTATAAAAATTTTTGCTGATCTAGAACAATAAAAAGTAAAAGAATATCTCAATATACAAGCGTAAGTAGTTCTGAATTACAATGCTAGTTGGATAGCTCACCAATGGTGATACTGAAGATTTTGATATTTTAGATTAGTAAAAACAAAATGAACCTATGTGGTCTATACTTCCATAGATAGCTTGTGATATACTATTGTTCTTATTTCTACAGTTACTTCTAAAACAGTTTTTAGTGCAGATGGATGAGTGCTGAGCAATTGCCGCAGCAGACTTACACCTCAAATAGTAAAGGCATTGATGATATCCAGAAATCATATATACGCACAAACGAGAAGATAAAATTATAGTGAAAATGACATAATTCAAAGTGATTTGGATGATATATTCTTGGGCAATGCAAGTGAATTGTCTGCCTCTTCTGATGATTGATCAACAATTTTTAAAATTTTTTTTTTCCACTATTTCATTTTGTAATGTTTTTATTTGATTATTGAGGTGGAGTATAATGTAAATGATTGATAAGCTAATAGGTGCCAACCTAGTTGAGATCTAATTAACCTATAGTGATGCAATTGCTCTACCATCATTAATAATTTATATTTATTTTATTTAATGATATAAATTTTTGTAATAGTTTATTTCATTTTGAAATAAAAATTATTCATTAGATAAATGTTATATATTTAATTTAATGATTGTAATATTTCATTTCATTTTGATATATATAAAGTTAATTATTTCAAAAGAAGAAAATTGCATAATTTCATACTTTTTTAGTCATAACTAAAAAAATATAAGTCATACGTAATTAAATACCATCACATGAAACATAACCAAACAACTCATTAATCTTAATTAAAATATTCTAGTATACTTTTTTTCTTTTGTTTTTTTATCCTTCATAAATAATCTATATATATAATACATCTATCGTTTATTTTTCATTAAAAAAAAAAGAAAAAGAAAAAAAAAGACCGGCCAGGCTAGGTCACACTAATTTGAGTGGGCTTTGGCTAGGGAAGATTTTTTGACCCGTAACCTGGCCGGATCCAAAAAAGATGGGAGCCCACACAATCCGAAGACAGGCCGGCCCAACCTGGATTCAAGTGGGCCCCGCCAGACCCAAATTACACACCTTGCCCGTAGTTATTATTAATACCTAAAGAAGAAAATAAGTTGTTGTTTTTCAGGTAAGTAATAAAAATAAGTTGTTGCTCTTTGTGGGTGTTTTGGAAAGTTGGTGAAAGGTTTGGTTTTTAGTTTTTTAACATTTTAGAAAGTGATTTGGAAAGTTGGTACAAAAATTCGCTTTTGACTTTTTAGTTTAATATTTATTTATGGTGTCAAATCAAATTAAAATGTGTAAAATACTCTTATCAAACATAAGAAATTTATTTTTTTATGTTTTTGTCATAGGTCCTAATTTGTAATTTCACACTTACGTTTTTGGCACTTCCCAAACCAATTTTGTTGCGTTTTTGCCACTTATATTTTTGGACATTTTGACAAAAACGTAACTTTTTATTTTGATTCCCAAAACGGCACATGGTGTGTTTTATAGTATTTTTCTTTCTCTGCCGTGTGGTTTTCCTATTGGGTGGAAATTTCTTGAAACCATATTGACCCACTTTTTATTTATGTAATACTAGCCTATCACCCGTGCTATGCACGAAATAATTATAGATATTTATATTTGTTTTAGATTTTTTTAATATATAAATTATGTTTTCTAAAATTTTTTTATAAAAATAATTTAACAATCCTATCACTAATCATAGTGTATGAGAGAAATTGAAAAGGATACTGCAGTAACTATGCATAGATTGTATCTATAATTATTAGTATGAGGGGATTTTAAATGTTGATCGGGGAATTTTGACCAAATTAATAAATAGACATGTGGATTGAAAACAGTTAATAAAGGCTGATAAGGAGATTTTGACCAAATCAATAAATGTTGAGATTTTTTTTTTAAATAAAAAAATTAGGAAATTTAGATTGATTGAGATTTTTTTTTAAATAAAAAAATTAGAAAATTTAGATTGAGATATTGGAGCTCCCAGGTCTTGGGGGTTAAAAACTCCTTTTTGCTTAATATATAGTATAGATAAAAGTAACATAAAAAGAAATTATTATTTGGTCTGTAATTTTTGTAATTTTTAATTCGTATTTTTATATTTTTAATAATTTATAAAAACATTTTAATTAATTATTTTTTTAACTTTTTAAATCTCTTTAGTCTTGATATACTTAAAAAAATATAAAATTATTGCAAATTTTTTTTTTTAAATTGAATATAACAAGGTACAAAAATGTATATATTTTCATTTTTTTTTCTATTTTTTATATTTGGTGAATTTTTTTGTTTAGAAAATTTCCAAATATTATACCTTTTAAGTGTATCTATTTTAGGTGTACTAAAAAAATAAAAAATTTGCATAAAATATTAAAAAAAGAAGAGAAAATTAGTAAAATATACCTGTAAACTTTGAATAGTGGGAGATGTCTAATATATATTTTTTTCTTATTAGTTAAGATCCATTAACAATATTATTAGAAAAAATTTAACTTGTCACAAAAAAATTTAAGAAAAATTGAAATTTCTATGAACTGAAATTTTTTTGTGAATTTTTTTTTGAAGTGATAAAATTTGGATACATTTTTCTGTTAAAAAGATCCCAATTATTATAAAAAATATTGTAGGTTCATCTTATAAAAAACTTAATATGAGAGATTTTAAATTAAAAATTCTTAAAAAAAATATGCAAAAATAAAAAAATTCAATTTTGAAAAAAATTGTAGATAAAACCAAACAAGGTTATTTTTTTTAATTTGAGAAAAGTTAGGGATGATGAAATTTTTTTCATATCATCCTTGAATTACCTGATTAGTGTGTGGTACTTTATTCTAAATGTAAAACTTTCACGATTATTTTTATGAAAGATTTTTCATCATACCTAATATTACTGTTTTAATTTTATTTTTTCAGATTGATCACCCTCACCCAATATGTTAGGTTATTGTCAACTCGATTAAAATTCAAACGCTTCAAGAAAAGCTCACTCTTTTATACAAGAATATCAATCATCATACAGCACATAAAACTAAGGTCGTAGAAATACTCTTTTGAATCTAATTACGATCAAAGCAACAATTAAAAAAGTTTGTATTACATGTACCAATTAATCTATGAATCCATCAATTCAAATATTCAAACACTTGATGAACTCTCATGAAGAAAGAGAAGAAGAACAATCATCAATCGAACTCAAAATAAGAATGGCATAGCGGGGAACGCAGGGCTCGCCATCAACATCGAACCTCTC